TCCCTAGCAGTCTGATTATGTCCATATTTCTGTGCTCAAAGCGGTACTTTTTTGCATGGAAATGTCGTTTTTTATTGTAGGCCTGTAATTCTTAGGAATAACTCACTGAAATCTGTATGAACAAGAGTCTAGTAAACATCCCGAGTATGAAAAAATTTTAAATACTAAATCATAAAAAATATAACAATAAATTGTATTCAATAATATATTCAAACCAAAAACACTGAAATTTGAAATATAGCGCCAAGTTCGCACATCGCTGAGCAAAGTCGCAAAATCTTTTTCAGTGTCTGATGATGAATTTCCCCCACGAATCATTATCACTCAATTCTGCAAGTGGTTCTGATTTACTATCGCTGTTCTCTAGCCGGTCTAAAACCGATTTTGACCTAAAGGGACGCTTTTTGGACGCCATGGACGTTTCTCAGTTTACAGGCAGAAAGAACAGTAAAAAATGCAGGCAGGGCGCCGGACAAAGCACTCGGGACAAAATGTTTGTGAAATGGTTTGATACAGTAATGTTTTACTAAGTGATTTTAGTGTATTGAGTGAATGTCACTTTTAAAAATTTAAAATATCCCGCCAGTTCTGTCCCCCGTACGTCCCGACGCTCGCAGGAGCGGAACCCAGAAGACAGATGCCGGCATCAGCCAGAGGACATTACAAGGGACACTGCAGGGGGGACATCCCCGGGAGAGCGCAGGACAAGGTAAGTGCAGAAGAGATCCCAGAGCAACGCTGCAGGATATTCCCGAGTGTAGCTCGGGGTTACCCCTTGTGGTGCTGAAACTTTACCCCGAACTACACTCGGGAATACAGGGGTGCGCTGTAGATTTTTTCTGAATGGTTTTCAATCAATTCCATTACTAATGTTTAGAAAATGGATCGTTTTGGCTCAAAAATCCGACATGACTGTTTCTTTTTGCCATAAAACGTTGCATTTCGATGAAATTCTTCAACATTTTGCAAGTCGAGCGACTGACCATATCGAAGGCTTTCGATGATGTTCGAACAATGAATGGCCAGCTTAAGTGATCGTTACTGAATCGGGCCACTCGTGTCAAAGGCTGCAAAAAACACCCACCCAATCGAAATACAAACCACGTCCAACAACAAATCAGACTTTAGATGGGTCTCACACTTAAAGCCCCAAACAGGGGTGCTCAAGGTGGAGTCCATTTCTGTGGACAGAACTTAGAGAAAATGGGGTGCAGACAGGCATAGCTTCTTCTGAAGTACAAAATAAATGTACACTGAGCCACACATGTGCAGCTGAGAGGAGTACATTTATGGTGCTGCACTGGGCCGTGATGAAGTAATTCCTGTGCGTGTGAGTAATGTCATCGTGGTCCAGCAGAGTGAACCTGGACGATGACCAGAAGATGAAAGTGCCCGGGACCAGCAAAAGCTCTGGAAAGCTTCACTTGACAGGTATGTGGTGCATATTAGTACATCAGGGCTTAAAACGCCTGTGGCCGCATGTATATGTGTATATATATATATATATATATATATATATATATATATATAGAGAGAGAGAGAATATAGTTAGGTCCATATATATTTGGCACAATTTTAGATTTTCTCAGATAATTATGAAAACATATTCCATCTATAGTTATATAATGGATATGGGGTGAAAGGTCACACTCTCTGGTTTAATTTGAGGGTATGTACATCCAAATTGGAGGAAGAGTTCAGGAATTACAGCTCTTAAAGAGTAGCCATCCCTTTTCCAATGGACCAAAAGTAATTGGACAATTGAATCAAAAGCTGTTTCATGGCCAGGTGTGGGCTACTCCTTTGCCATTTCTTCATCAATTAAGCAGGTAGAAGGTCTGCAGTTGATTCTAAGTGTGGTATTTGCATTTGGAATCTATTGCGGTGAACCTACATCATGCGTTCAAAAGGAGCTGTCCGTGTAAGTGCAACAGGACATTGTAAGGCTTCAAAAATGAAACAAATCCATCAGAGAGATAGCAAAAACATTAGGAGTGGCCAAATCCACGGTTTGGTACATTCTGAGGAAAGAAATGTGCACTTTCAGCCCTTATCCATTATAGAACTATAGCTTGAATAGGTTTTGATAATACTATATCCATATGCCGGACTCCATCGGGAGCCCAGAATATAGAGTATCAATATGCATTCAGTGAGGCTTCATTTTCCATCTTTCCTGTCTTCTGTATGCAGATATTGTGACAACTTTTTCTTTGAGCTTATGTCATTGGGCTCTAAATGTCTACCATTTTTGCAACTTATAGTTTTGTTTTCCTTTTTTATATACGGCACTTGTGTATGAAGTTTATTTTTTTGTCTTTCCATCAGTACATACTGTATTATTCACCAGAAAACTTGTATGTTTTATTTCTGTTGGTCAGTGTATCTGTTTTTGACTGATTCTCTGATGTTATCTATTCTGCAATAAAATTCTTTGTAAAAGAATATGTTTTGGTAAATACCTGAAAAAAAAAAAAATTTGTGCCTGTGTCCAAATATATATGGACCGAACTATATCTCTATATATCCATCTATATACAGTGGGGAAAAAAAGTATTTAGTCAGCCACCAATTGTGCAAGTTCTCCCACTTAAAAAGATGAGAGAGGCCTGTAATTGGCATCATAGGGAGATCTCAACTATGAGAGATAAAATGAGAAAACAAATCCAGACAATCACATTGGCTGATCTGGAAAGAATTTATTTGCAAATTATGGTGGAAAATATAGTATTTGGTCAATATGAAAAGTTCATCTCAATACTTTGTTATATATCCTTTGTTGGCAATGACAGAGGTCAGACGTTTCCTGTAAGTCTTCACAAGGTTGGCACACACTGTTGCTGGTATGTTGGCCCATCCTCCATGCAGATCTCCTCTAGAGCAGTGATGTTTTGGGGCTGTCGCTGGGCAACACGGACTTTCAACTCCCTCCAAAGGTTTTCTATGGGGTTGAGATCTGGAGACTGGCTAGGCCACTCCAGGACCTTGAAATGCTTCTTACGAAGCCACTCCTTTGTTGCCCGGGCGGTATGTTTGGGATCATTGTCATGTTGGAAGACCCAGCCACGTTTCATCTTCAATGCCCTTGCTGATGGAAGGAGATTTGCACTCAAAATCTCACGATACATGGCCCCATTCATTCTGTCCTGTACATGGATCAGTCGTCCTGGTCCCTTTACGAAGAAAAACAGCCCCAAAGCATGATGTTGCCACCCCCATGCTTCACAGTAGGTATGGTGTTCTTTGGATGCAACTCAGCATTCTCTCTCCTCCAAACACGGCGAGTTGTGTTTCTACCAAACAGTTCTATTTTGGTTTCATCCGACCATATGACATTCTCCCAATCCTCTTCTGGATCATCCAAATGCTCTCTAGCAAACTTCAGACGGGCCCGGACATGTACTGGCTTAAGCAGGGGGACACGTCTGGCACTGCAGGATCTGAGCCCCTGGCGGTGTAGTGTGTTACTGATGGTAGCCTTTGTTACGTTGGTCCCAGCTCTCTGCAGGTCATTCACTAGGTCCCCCGTGTAGGTCCTGGGATTTTTGCTCACCGTTCTTGTGATCATTTTGACCCCACGGGGTGAGATCTTGCGTGGAGCCCCAGATCGAGGGAGATCATCAGTGGTCTTGTATGTCTTCCATTTTCTAATTATTGCTCCCACAGTTGATCTCTTCACACCAAGCTGCTTGCCTATTGCAGATTCAGTCTTCCCAGCCTGGTGCAGGTCACACTTTTTGTTTCTGGTGTCCTTCGACAGCTCTTTGGTCTTCACCATAGTGGAGTTTGGAGTGTGACTGTTTGAACTTGTTATCAGTATAAAAGACACCTGTCCACCACCTCAAAACAGGTGGCATTGATACAGGTAATGAGTGCAGGACAGAGGAGCCTCTTAAAGAAGAAGGTACAGGTCTGTGAGAGCCAGAAATCTTGCTTGTTTGTAGGTGACCAAATACTTATTTTCCACCATAAATTTGCAAATAAATTCTTTCTAAATCAGCCAATGTGATTGGATTTTGTCTCTCATTTTGTCTCTCATAGTTGAGGTCTACCTATGATGTCAATTACAGGCCTCTCTCATCTTTTTAAGTGGGAGAACTTGCACAATTGGTGGCTGACTAAATACTTTTTTGCCCCACTGTATATATATATCTAGCTATATTTTTTTTTTTTACTGGAGTTTAATTCCGCTTTCAATCTGTATTTAGTGTCACTTTAAAAAGATATCATTACGTGGGTGGTACATTGTATGCGAATGCAAAAATGTTCTTTCGTCTGTCCCTGAATGGTACATTGCAAGCTAATATGAACAGTAGAATCTGCCTGTGCTGTCCTATGTATAAACCTGCTCCAAAGAAACTTAAGGGCTGGGGAGGACATTTTCCACTTCCGTTTGCAGCAGAAGTGGGAGCAGGTAACTGTCAAAAGTGGCTAAATGGTTAGCACTTCCACCTGGCAGTACTAGGGTTGTTGGTTTGAATCCCAACCACGGCACCACCTGCCTGGAGTTTGCATGTTCTCCCTGTGTCTGCGTGGGTTTCCCTGGGTACTCCGGTTTCCTCCCACACTCCAAAGACATGCTGGGAGGTAATTAGATCCTATATAAATTGTCCCTAGTATGTGTATGTATAATTGTGAGTTAGGGACCTTAGATTGTACACCCCTTGAGGATGTGAATGTACAATATATATGTAAAGTGCTGCGTAAACTGATGGAGCTATATAAGTAAGTACTGAAATAAATAAAATCGGGTAACAGCTCCCCCCCAGTGGTAAGTCCACTTATTTTGATGATAAACCTATGGGACCTGTCAGTATCACAAACTTTCTGCATCACCTCTCCATAAAAAAAACCTTCACTCTCCAGATGAATTTTATTTCAGCACAGATGTAAATCAGATGACAGAGGGGTGACACAGACTGTTCTTATCTGCGGAATGGCAGTAAATAAGTCTAGCTATGTGTAAGTATTATGAAGGAGACGTCAACACAACCACTCACCAGATCTGTAATTTGATCTTCTTTCCTTGTAATTCCACAGTTTTGATCTTGAAGTCTATTCCTGTGAAGGAAACAAACAAGAGATCAGCGGATTGCGCAAAACAGTCTGAAATAAATTAAAGCACGTGTGGCGTTGTGTATGTTGGTGGACATGGAATATCCAGAATTTCTGGACCGATCTGAAGGGACACCTAACCAAGTCGGAGTTCTCATACATGGCTTCTGCCCCGGTTGAGTCGCTCTCGTAATGCTGGTGTGTGACGACCTTTTTGTACTTCGCTGTGATGCCCATCCATGGAAGAGTTTTATGTGCATCATTTCTGGTCCCAGTGTTATACAAATTACACTTTACATGGGGAACCGTTTAACAAACCCATTTGCTTTTTTGTTTTTCCTTTACTGCATTTTTTATTTTGACCAAACTGAAGCCGTACTTTCCTACTGAGCAAGAGAACCCGTTTCCTCAAGGGCTCATTCACAGCAGCCGACGCACATGTTCTGTAGAACGCAAATATGCATTGTGTACGAGTGGCGTGATGCATTGCTGTAGCAGATCTTGTTCGTGCTTTTTTTTAAAAAAAAATCTTTATTGAAGTGTCACAAAATGACATTTTAACTTTATGAACAACAGTACACCATGAGGCGTTGCAGTAGGTTTGGACAAGTTGTGCGTTACGCTGCGTATAAATAAAGATGTGCGATGAAAACGAAGCACACGGGAACGATTATTTTCTCTGTCTCCTTGCACTGATCTAACCTCCCTAGCGGTCTGATTATGTCCATATTTCTGTGCTCAAAGCGGTACTTTTTTTGCATAGAAATATGTATTTTTTGTTTTATTGCAGGCCTGTAATTTTTAGGAATAACTCACTGAAATCTGTCCGAACAAGATTCTAGTAAACATCTGGGGTAGGATAAAACTTGAAACACGAAATCATAAATTATAATATAAATCATAAAAAATAATTTAATAATAAATTTAATTCAATAATGTAATCAAACCAAAAACACTGAAATGTGAAATATAGCGCCAAGCTCGCACATCACTGTGCAAAGTCGCAAAATCGTTTTCAGTGTCTGATGAGGAATTTCCCCACAAATCATTATCACTCAATTCTGCAAGTGGTTCTGATTTACTATCGCTGTTCTCTAGCTGGTCTAAAACCACTTTTGACCTAAAGGGACACTTTTTGGACGCCATGGACATTTCTCAGTTTCCAGGCAGAAAGAACAGTAAAAATGCAGGCAGGGCACCGGACAAAGCACTCGGGACAAAATGTATGTGAAATGGTTTGATACAGGAATGTTATACTATGATTTTAGTGAATGTCACTTGACATTTTTAAATTTCCTGCCAGTTCTGTCCCCCGTACATCCCAACGTCGTAGGGAACGGACCCCGGAAAACAGATGCCGGCATCGGCCGGAGGACATGGCTGGGGACACTGCAGGGGGGAAATCGCGGGAGCGAAGGACAAGGTAAGTGAAGAAGAGATCCCGGAGCAACACTGCAGTGTATTCCCGGGTGTAGCTCGGGGTTACCGCTTGTGGTGCTGAAATTTTACCCCGAGCTACACTCGGGAATACCGCCAGGGAGGTTAAAGGAGAACTACGCTGCATCTGAGCACAAAACCAAAACCGCTATTCAAAGCAATGCATACTAGCACATTAACGCCTTTAACTTGCAGGATTTTTTTTAATGCATTTTACTACCGCTTCGTTCACACTAGCTTGTTAGCAAGCGGCAGACAGGCATTTGGGAAGCGTTTTTACCGTATCCCAAACGCCTGGGAAAATTCTGCACATTGTAGGACATGGTGCTGTTTAAACGGGAGCGTTAGCATTGCGGCAAAACGGGCGCCTCTGGTCGAGTCTGGAGGAGTTGAAGCCTCCTATTCAAGTCTATGGTGCCGCTCCAGCGGTTGCGGAGCGTTAACACCATTCAAAGTTCATTATAGGCGTTTGTGGGGCGCTTTTAACACTTGGCAAACGCCTAGCAACTGCCATTAAACCGCACATGCGACATTTGCGGAGCGTTAAAAACACTCCGCAAATGCCGGACCAGCGCTCGTCAAACGCTATAGGGGCGTTTGGCAAGAGTTGGAAAAACAGTCAACAGTCAGAGATTCTGCTCTCTCCTGGCTCTCATCCTACCTGTCACAACGCTCCTTCAGCGTTACCTATAATGCTACCACCTCCCCCTCACTCGCCCTCTCTGTTGGGGTCCCTCAAGGCTCTGTCTTCGGGCCCCTTCTCTTCTCCATCTACACCTCCTCCCTTGGCCAACTCATACACTCCCACGGCTTCAACTATCACCTCTATGCCGACGACACACAAATCTATCTCTCAACCCCCCACCTCACCCCCTCAGTCTCCGCCCGAATCACACACCTACTGAGTGACAGATTGGATGTCGCTCCACTTTCTTAAACTGAACCTCTTCAAAACCGAGATTCTTGTCTTCCCTCCAGCCCGGACCCCACCCCCCATTGACTTCTCCATCACATCCAACAACGCCACCATCAAACCCGCCCCGCAGGCCAGAGTACTTGGTGTCATTCTGGACTCCAACCTATCCTTCCAGCCCCAAGTCCAATCTTTAACAAGCTTGTGCAGACTCCACCTCCGCAACATCGCCAAAATCCGCACGTTCCTAACCCCAGAAACCACTAAACAGCTCATCCACTCCCTCATCATATCACGACTCGACTACTGCAACTCCCTCCTCACTGGTCTGCCTCGCCGCTGGCTATCCCCACTTCAGTCCATCCTGAATACGGCTGCCAGACTCATTCACCTTTCCAACCGCTCCGTTTCCACCGCCCCCCTCTGCCAATCCCTCCACTGGCTTCCGATTGCGCAACGGATCAAATTCAAAATCCTAACACTGACGTACAAAGCCGTCCACCATACTGCCCCGAACTACATCACTGACCTAATATCCAAGTACCGCCCAGCACGCACACTCCGCTCCTCACAAGACCTCCTTCTCTCTAGTTCCCTGGTCTCCTCCTCCCATGCCCGCCTCCAGGACTTCTCCAGGGTGTTACCCATCCTCTGGAACTCCCTGCCCCAACCCATCAGATTATCACCTACTCTCCTCTCCTTTAGGTGCACCCTGAAAACCCACCTCTTCAGGGAAGCCTACCCCACCCCCTGCTAACTTGCCGACCTCCTCCACTCCTCCTACCACTCCATCCCCCACAGCTATCTCCTCCTGTGCCACCATCCCCTCCCTCCTAGATTGTAAGCTCCAAGGAGCAGGGCCCTCAATCCCCTCATGTTTTGCATTGTATTGGTATTGTTCTGTTACATGTTCTGTCCCCCTTTGTAATGTACAGCGCTGAGCGAACTATTGGCGCTTTATAAATACTGTATAATAAACCGCACGAGACATTTGCGAAGCGTTAAAAACACTCCGCAAATGCTGGACCAGCGCTTGTCAAACGCTATAGGGATGTTTGGCAAGAGTTGGAAAAACGGTCAAGTGTGAACGAGCCCTTAGGCCTCTTGCACACCGCAGATAGAACGATCAGTACAGCGGTTTTTTTTTTTTTACTGATATAAAATGCAGCCCATCATTTACAATATGCCTGTACACACAGGCGAGAAAACGTTGCATTTCATTGAGTAAATAGAAAAATCTGTGTTGCCGGTCAGCATTTTTGCGATTTTACTCGCTAATACGCACAAATGCCGCGCTTCCTGCTTAGGTGTGCATACTTTCAAATACACACAAAAGTGTACAAGTGATATACTGCCTATCCTCGCATTTTCTCTGCCAGCAATGTCTGACGCTCATACGTCAGTACAGTCTGCAGGAGGCCGAATACAGCTTTTAATGGTCATATAAGCCGACAGCTACCAAGTTGTAATAAGCGTGCCCAGCACTTGGCTAATCAGTGTAGTAGAGACGTGTGAATCGCAAGACCGGCTGTAGAGAATTACAAACATTGCTGGGAGGTAACATCATTCACGAGTATTTCAATCGAATGTAGCCAGTCTTAGATTGTAAGCTCTCAGGATCAGGGCCCTCTGTTTCCTCTTGTACTACATTGTATTGTAACTAATGTCCGCCTGCATTTTGTAAAGCGCTGCGCAAACTGTTGGCGTTACAAATCCTATATAATAATTTGCCTAGAGATCCACTGATGCCTATGTAGAGCCTAGGAAACAGAGGTACAACATGCTGAGACTTGCAGTTCCTACACCTCCACACACAACCTCCTGTTCAGGTTCTCAGGCTACTGACACGCATACCAAAGACTTGCCCCTCCATTAAACTGCCGTGCTTAGTGTGATGGTGAACATGGCGTGTACAATCCATCAGTCTGAAGGTGCCGAGTCTATGAAGGAATATTATACATAACCGAGACATGCATATACACAGGACGCCGGCCTGGCTGCACACGACAGCCACCCCAGGGATTCCCCACCGCAGGACTTCAGCTGCACCTAAACATTGGACACGTCTCCAAATCTGCTGAATATTAGACAAGTGCTGACTGCACTAAACCTCATCTCATGGTGGGATGTACCAGGGGCCAAATTCCTTCCACAACATCTACATGGAGTGTGTATGTTATTCTTGGGTTTTCCCCAGGGGCCAGTTTCCTTCCACAATGAAAAACCCCCTAAATTGTGTCCTATTGTGAGGAGATAAAGGAACGTCAGTTTGATGGTTGATGCAATATAGAATGAGAGAGAGAGAGAGAGAGAGAGAGAGAGAGAGAGAGAGACAGAGACAGAGAGTGTATTAGAGTGCAAGTTCCTCTGGTGGAGGCAATGTGAATGGCTCAACGATCTCTGTACAGCACTATGGTACATGTCAGAGCTATATAAATGTATAATAGCATGTGACTGTGATGAGACCTTAGAGTGTAAGCTCCACTGGTTTAGACTGGCTCCATGTTCTCCATACAGTCAGAGCTACATAAAAGTGAAATGAAAAAAGGAAGAGGGGAGGGGAAAAAAAAGGAAAGGGACGACCCAAAAAAAAAAAAAAAAAAAAAAAAAAGGGAAAGGGGACGACCCAAAAAAAAAAAGGGGAAAGGGGACGACCCAAAAAAAAAAAGGGG